CCAGACACTGGGCTCAATACTACCAGGCCCAAACGCTCCCAGCAGCCGCTCCATGTAAAGAGAGCAGGGTTAAAAAATCCATTTCAGCAGAGCGAGAACAGAAACTCAATATAAGCCAATGACCAGAGAGATTTTGAGACATCAGCGTTTCATATCGGATCAGCGCTCTTTAATACGTATCAGGTATAAGAGAGTCAGAATCTCCGTAAAGGCCTTTGGGAAGGTGCTGGGAAAGGGCCGTGCCGATGCACTTCTCACTTCTCCTCTCCTGTTATTCCGAGGTGTTATGTGTGTTAAAGCATCTAATTTATTGTCGGTGACCACATTCCCATTACTCTAATATGGCGGTCGTTCCCATCCACACCTAGTTCCGCTAAACTCTTGAAAAGCACCCAAACGGGAGCGAGGAACAGGAATTTATGACCCTATGCAAGTCCCTTTCGGCATCAGCATTGACCAGACGAAGTGGCTTCCTTCTCAGGTGCCTGTAGATGTAGATAAACAGAATCAGCGTTGGCCAGGCGTGAAGTCACTGGGACGAAACGCTCCGTCTGCAGGTCCACAGGCCCGAGACGAGCCGCAATAACCACCGTAAATCCATCTCTGTCGACACTCCGACCCACACGAGGACAAAAGCAACCTTGTAAAACTTTCAGCTACAGTTAAACACTCCAGAGATATATGGAAAGCAACGGTGTCCGGCGTGCCAGACAGAGATGGAGTGAAGGAAACTGGAGGAAAGTGGCTTCGTTTGAAGATAAACATACAGTATTCTCAGAAAACTTCACACAAATGTGCCACGTCCTGCTATAGTTAACCATACACACTTCATGCAGAGATATGGCATGAGTCACCAATCCACATTAACACTCAGGTGAAACTCGGAAAAATTTGAATTTCGTGCAAAAGTTGATTCATTTCCGTAATTCAACTTAAAAGGTGAAACTAATATATTACATGCAAAGTGAAATATTTCAAGCCTTTATTTGTTATAATTGTGATGATTATGGCCATCATGATTAAAACCCCAAATTCAAAATTAGAATATTGCGAAAAGGTTTTCATATCTGTAAGCCATAATCATCAAAATTATAACAAATAAAGGCTTGAAATATCTCACTTTGCATGTAATATATTAGTTTCACCTTTTAAGTTGAATAACTGACATGAACTATTGCACGATATTCTAATTTTTCGAGTTTCACCTGTACATCGTTCTATAATTCATTCGACTTCATTAAAGTAGAAATGCAGTGTTTTTCAAAGAAAGACACAAAAAGTTTTTAAAATCTCAACCAAAATGCAATAAATAGCTCTGCCTCTAAATGCCTTTTCTTTCTGCTGACGTCAATTAGACCAAGCACTGAAAAGTTGCAAATAAAACAGATTATTAGAGTATGTTTTACAAGAAAATAGTTGTTCGGTCGTTCAGAATAGCACATTTAATTCAATGTGTTACTTGCTGTTTCGTTGTAATTATTTGTGAAATTTACTAGCAATTTCAAAGTGGAAATTGTTTTAAAGTAAATCCTATATTTATTTGTGTTCAGTGTGCAGACTATTGGATAAATAAAAAGTATGAAATAAAACTAAATGTGATAATACTACTAAGTTCAAGTAATGGTAATATTTCAAAAAAAAGTTTGATTTATTGTAACGAGTTACTTCGTTCCAATGAACTAGTTAAATAAATAAATATTTTGAAGCAAAATATTTAGTTAATCAAAAGCTGGTCTGATTGCAAAAACAAATTATATAATACTTAAAAACAACTTCAACGTGATGAACTACTTTTTGCCGTTCACACCAAGAACGATAACTATATAACGATAACTAATAGCAATATCTATATTAGCGTCCACACGGCAGACGATATCATTGTGTTTATTCTGCAGGTTTGTCTTTTGCTGAAAGTGATTGCAACGTTATCGTTTCTCTGTGCCGTTCCCGTTATGGTTGTGGACTCTGCTATTCTTTAATGTTGATCTATATCTTTATCTTAGATTGGTGTGAACGGGCCTTAAAGCAGCTTTCACACTAATCTCACACTAATAATAAACATGTCAAGCCAGAACGTCAAATCAAACTTACATTTACAAAAAATAAGGAACTTTATTAAGCGGGGATTTTCTTTGAGAATTGCAAGCGTGCACATGGATAGTGATGCAGATAGAGAGGGTTACACACACACACACACACACACACTCGATCTGATAAACCGATACCACAGAGAGATACGGGTAAATCCTCGCGTGCGTCTGTCGGTTTGTGCACTGCTAGATGAAAAAGGCCACAAACACACAAACCCAGTGCACATATATGTTACTCCATTCTTGCATATGTTGACATGTCCTTCAACTTTGCATATGGATAGCTTTTCCTTGATAAAAGCAGATGCAAATGGGCTGTATCGTGCCAAAGCTGAAATAAAAATTGTATATAGTGATTGGTGCATCTATTATTGGACACGACTGCTTTACTTTGGTGTGAAGTCGACTGCTGATGTCATTGTAAGGAAAAATACAGTGCAAGATGTGTCCAAAATAAGTAAAGTCAGGGAAGAACTTGTTACAAAGGGATGAAAAGCGGAGTTTAGATATAGTGTTGTCAAGCACTGTCGCAACTTGCCATATTATATCGCGTCAATCAAGTTCTACATACATAAAATAAAAAATGCATTACACTTATGTTTTTATATGGGCTATAAATCACATTTTAAACATGATGAAGTGCATGTTCACTCATGCATGTAAAAACATCTCCAGTATATTAGTTGAAAAAAGGTTGTTTATTTATATTCATGTGGCCTTTGCCTCGTCTTTGAGATGTTACATCGAGGCTGTTCACATGTGTTTAAGAAGAAACACGCATCGGGTGCGACTGATAAACTTCCTGTGTTAACTGAAAGCGCTCACACACATCAAGATGCATGTGTGTATGAGAAACAGCCAGTCAGGAAACTGAAATGAGCAACTGAGAAAAAACAAAGCCAGCAGACCTCATAACCTCATTAACATCACCTTTAGCAGGATCTAGAATAAACATGAGTGTTTTAAACACGGATTTAAAACACTAAAACAGTTAGAAATAATAATAAGCAGAACTGAGACTCTAAATTTGTTCACAAAAAAAAAAAAAAAAACTTAATGTAATTATTAAATTAAATTAAATTTTAAGGACTAGCTCCTGCACAACTTTCAATTAAGAATGAACTTGATAAATACATTTTAATTAGCTGACAAACCAACAAGCAAACAAGCTGAAATGAGACTTTCAAGTAGAGCAACCAGACCTCATAACCTCATTAACATCATCTTTAGAAATGATCTCATGGCAGGATCTAGAATAAGCATTTCCAACGCACGTTTTAAAACACTAAAACAGTTAGTGAGTAGTGACTGAGGGACTGAGTTAGAAGAGCCAATTAACAGCATCTGTGAGATGATCCACTCAGAGAAGACCAGCTAAATGAGTCAGTTTAACCAAACCAGGGTAATTTCCATTCACCCTTAACCCACAGTCATTTCAGTTCGAGAAAGAAACTAAAGCATCATCTTTGGGCCTCAGCTGTGAACTCACACACCCACAGGCATCCAAAACAGCGCTTCAGAAACTCGACAGCCTCCAGCGAGAGGGAAAGTCCAGAGCCGTGAGGTCGGACCACTACTGCATACAAATGAAGCTGTTTTCGTCATAGAATAATATTAAAAAACAGAACTGAGATTTAGACTTCTTTCTCATGGAGTGAACACTGTAAAAAAACTTAACTCATTATTTTGTGTTATCTTTTTGCATGTTTTTTTTTAGTTTAACTAACTTATTTCGATAAGTTGAGGACAAGAAAACTTACAATTTCTTGTTGTCTGGACAATCTAGTTATCTCTACACAAAAAAAAAAAGTTGAAATAACTAAATTGCTAAAATATTTTTTACAGTGAAGAAGCTCTAAATTTGTTATTGTATCATACTATTATTTTTAATGTATTGTATTTTAATTGTCTTTGATGGAAGCACGTTCCTGCAGAACTTTCAAAATGCTCAAAGTTAAAAGGATTATTTGTGCATAAAAATTTTTTAAAACACTGTTTCACCTTTAATGCACAAATAATCCAGCATCAATAATTAAAATTAACAGCATCATGCAACAGCAATCGTGTACATTTAACACTTCAGTTAAAGTGTAACCATCATGTAACCAGCATCATGCTTTTCCTGGATGTCTTTCTCATGGAACGAATTAATTTTAATTTACTTTATTGTATTTTTCCATGTTCCTGCAGAACTTTCCGTAAGGACTGAATTTAAACAAAATGATCATGCTTAAAAACTAAAAGTATTATTTGTGCATTAAATGTAACACATTTTTAAAAACAGCCTCATGTAACAAGAAAGAAGTAAAAGTGCCAATGCATAATTCTACTTCAATTCAGTCTTGTTGTATTTACTGGTTTATCTTATGTTACATGCTTTTCCTGGATCTCAATCATCAAACTCAACACCAGCACGCTTTTCCCTCACGAATGAAAGTCGGCTCGTCGCTGAAGCTTTCTGACTCGGTGACAAACAACGTCTTTCCAGACATCAACTTCATTCCTCTATCGAGGGTTCAGCGTTCAATACAACCTCTTCCACTATTAAAGCATAAGCAACATGTGCAAAGCTCATCATAAAAAAGCGTAAAACATTAAAGCAATATTCTGTAAGTTAGTTTCACCCTGCATTCAAAACTCTAAAGTTTGGCACAATGCAAAAACCTAATATTGTAGACGATAGCTCCCTTTTCCTCCAGCTGGAAAACACGTTGGAGTCCAGCATGCAGTGGCTGGTTGAATGAGGTTAACCAGTGAAGTACTCAGTAACCCGCAGACCTGTGGTTTTCAGATTCAGCCACAAGATTTCAGTACTCCACTGACACTGCAAACCAGCTTCGTCATTTTGCGCAAACATCGGCGTGGACGCACAGGTTCGATGGAGATAAGAGCTTGCGCAAAAACACTCACCCCTGGAGAAGCACGACTGGTACGACGAGAAGCTTTCGAAGATGCTGTTGGAGGCCATCGCGAGCGGTTGCTTCTCCTCCTCTTCGTCAGAATCCAACGCTTCCAACTTGATCTGCTCCCGAATTTTGAAGGGCTCCCGGTTTTGCCCTGCAAAGAGCAAAAATACACGCATGACGACATGCAAGAGGTTTGGCTCGAACGCCACCCCCTGATCCCCGAACCCCGACATGCAGTACACACCCACACCCGGGAACCCGTGGTCGCCCTGAGCCGGTCCAGAGAGGCGGTTCGGTCCTGGGATTCTGTGCATGGCTCACAGACACGGGCGATTGCGATCGGTGGTCAGCCTGTGGTTAACTGATGCTTACCCTTGTGCAAAAGAGCAGGAGCGCAAACGTGTCGCTGTGGTTTTTCCGGCGAATTGTCTGTTTCACACGATGACATCAACACGTATTCTCCCTCCCCCCTCGTGCTCTTCAGTCCCTCTCGTCTATCTTTATCTCGCAGATCTCGAGTGCCTAGAGAGCCGTGACCGGTCGCAGACTTGGTTTGTGGTTGTGGCGGCCCACAGAAAAAGCTTCTCCCTTAGCCAGACGACAAGTTTAAACCGTTCCCCACAACTGAAGAAAAAAAAAGCATCCGAGTGTCATTGGGCCGTTCAGGTCACATGCTCCAGCTAATTTCATTCAGACTTTTTTCTGCAGAGGTTTTGTTCTGTGTGATCTGGCGTTTGGGCCGGTCTATCAAACCTCCACCTGTTGGCATTTTCTTGAAAAGGAGGAAATAGATGAGGTCTGTAAGAGCGTGCGAGCTCAGCAGAGGGGGGTTGAAAGTGAGTAGGTAAGAACACCACAGAGTTTAACAGCCAAAGCGTGTGTGTGTGTGTGTACGAGAGCAAGGCGAGTCACGCTGCATAAGTTAAAGCATGCAAATCCATCTTCACCAGAGGACACAATTAGTCCTGTGTCTCAGACGCCATAAAAGCGCTGCAGATCGTCAAAATTTACATGATGCCTTTCGTATCAGCTTCATCTGCTGCTTCTGCAAGACAAACAGAAAATAAAACACAGGGTATTTACTGACAATCTTGCGCATTGTGACCACTTGTTTGATCTTAAATTTTCAGTCTCCAATCCGAATTATGTATAAAATGTTCACATACTGTATACAGTGGGGCAAAAAGACAATGTACAGTAACTGCATTTGAAAACAAAATATTCTAAGAAAATAGTGTGTAACTCAAGTGTCTAAAAAAATGTAAGTACATCTGACATTCAAATAAAAATTAAGTGGCATATTTGATGATCAAGAGCCAACAAGTCATTTGAAAGTGAATTGCAAAAACCTTTTCTATGCATCATCAGGCTGTGAATGACTGCATTACTATCCGCTTCAAATCAGAGACTTCATTATGCATTTTTCATGTTACATGGTGCCATACATATCATTTCAAAGTGTTGATTCTGCAAGACAAACAGAAAATGTAATTCAGTGCATTTACTGACAATAAACCATTGTTATGACTAGTTTGGTCTAAATAACTTCAGTATCTACAGTAGTCAGAAATATTTACAAAGATAACATATATAGAGTGAGATAAGAAGGCATTTAAGCCACACTTAAAATACCTAAATATAATTGCATTAAATATCAAATCAAAAAACTTAATAGTTCTGAGAAAATATTAAGTTCGGTCACATACTGTGTTTTGATGTCTATTGCAAGAACCTTCATATATTTTCATGCGCAACTGACATTCAATTAATGTCATATTAGATGACCGAGAGCCAAAAAGTTATTTTAAAAGAAAATTGCACCAACATTTTCCCTGTGAATGATGGCATTACCTGCTTCAAATCGTAGACTTCATTATGTGTTTTGTATGTTGCATGGCGCCTTTCATATCATTTTAATCTGTTGATTCTGCAAAATAAGAGTGTTTACCAACAATAAACTCTCATAATATCCAAATTTCACTTTAATTGTATATCATCTGACATGCAAATACATTGAACGTTCATTGACATAATATTTATGAGTAAAATATTTTCCTTTCCCAAAACGATTGCATTACCTGGATCAAATCAAACTGCGTTATGCGTTTTGCAAGACGGGCGTCATCATAATTGCAGGACTCATTACCGTCTCACCTGCCCTTAATAAAGGCATTGCATTACACGTGCAAGAGGGTCATGATATCACGCAAGACTCTTGCCTATCATGCAACTGATTAGGACGTTTTATTTTGTCCAAAGAACAGAAACGCCCCCCGCAACCCCTCAAGCACCCATTATCTCGTAGGCACACACCTGCGTCCACCTCCAGCTTAGACGGCCCCAAATTGGCACATGTACACCTGCATCACGCCTCCAGCACATGCCAAACACACACACACCTGTGTCCAAACACACACACACCTGTGTCCTGGCGGTCCTCGAACCGTTTGGACGGGAGGTTTGGGAGTGGTGGGCGGAGTGCTTTAGGTGCTCTCCAGATGCTATCCCTCCCAAACCTGGAGTCAGATTTCACCCCAGCATCCAGACACGCTTACACACGGCAGTGTTGTAGAATGTCAGGTTGATTGTGCTGAAACAGTTTTGAATTCCGGAAAAAATGAAGGTTCCAAAAAGGCTTTGATTTGCTTTGATGTTTTGTTATATAATACAATGGGGATATTTTTACCGACTGATTCCATTTTAAGTTATATGATTCCAGACCTAGAACCAATGTTATGGTCTGAAGAACATATGACATCAAGAACTGGAATCGGTTCTTAAATCAGAGGCCGGATTTACAAAAAAATGTTCTTTTAAGAAAAAACAGTCACACTTTACGATTAGGTTCTAATTCTCACTATTAACAATGACTTTTGCCTCAATAAAATCCTAATTACTGCTTATTAATAGTTTAGTTTAGGTATTGGGTAGGATTAAAGGATGTAGAATATGGTCATGCAGAATAAGGCATTAATATGTGCTTTATGAGTAAAAAACAGCCAATATATTAGTAATATGCATGATAATAAGAAACTAGTTAATAGTGAGAATTAGACCCTAAACTAAAAAAGTTAAGACATTTCTCAAAAGTTGAGTTAAGAATTTTCCTAAATGCAATTTTTCGAAAATTCGGTAACACTTTATTTTAAGGTGACTACATGTACTTACTATAGTAATAACAACAAATTATGCATACTTACAAGTAACTAACCTTAAACCAAACGCTAACCGTAACTCTATAGTAAGTACAATTAAGTACTAACTAGAGTAAGTACAATGTAACTACGTCACCTTAAAATAAAGTGTAACCAAAAAGGCTTTGGTGTTACTGCATTTGATATCGCATTACTGTAGGTTCATGCCGAAGACTCGCTGAGCAACTCAACTCAATGATAAACACCTCGGTCGCAGATTACTGTGACAATCATAATAAGCGCGGACACTATTCACTCAGAATCATGTTTTTTAATGTAGAGTTTTAACATGTTTTTTTTTGGGTGCTGAATTTTGTGCCGAAAATGATGAAAATAAAGAATGAGGTCCCTATTTTAGTCGTTACTGATTTTCAAATTTAGAAAAAATTCACCTAACTATAATAACCGACCATAATTTACATTATCAAACATTGTTGTCACTTCAGAGCACTCATGTACATCCCTTGTACCAGTAATATATATATATATATATATATATATATACACAGTATATATAGCCTATATATATTATATATAATGTGTTATATTATAAATCTTAAATCTAAACAACCCAGTAAATTAATTACCTTTGCAGATTTCAGTTTATCCAAACTTTAAGAGGTTATTTACAATATAAAAACTACACATTTAGAAGTTTAGAAATGCCATTTGTACCTGAAGCTCTTAAATCAAGGGACACGTGTCCTGGATTTCCTTGTGTAGATGTTGACAGTGAATCAAACTGCTTTCAGACTTTCATTTGGCAACAGAGAAAAGAGGAGAAACAGCATTTTTATGAGCATCAACCTAAAAAACCTTCAATTTATGGAAAGTAAAATTGAGGGTTCAGTTATTGTTACAAACCAGAAAGCATTACATTTGCTCTTACAGGAGTGTAGAGCTGAGAACGGTGACTAGGAGGGCTGTCTACTGAATCTGTTATTTATTTATTTTATTTGATGTCTGGGATACACAGCTGTCCTACACACACACACACACACACACACACACTCACGTCTCCTGCTGTGTTCCCATCGCATCATGAAACTGCACATTCTCATCCCTGAGAAAAACACTCCTCGTTTCATTGGCCGGAGACATTCCTGTATCCATGTATCTTTATAACCAGAAAGAGAAAGAGTAAATAAGCTTTAAATGGTCAATAACATAGTAGTATCCCACATTATTTTTACACTTTTGCACAATAAATGAATGGATGGATGAATAAATAAATAAATAAATAATGGTTGTTGGTGCCTCCTATAATTATGACATTTTTACATTTAATCATTTAGGATTTGAGTTTAACACTTAAATCATGACATGAAGACTGTTTTAATCTACGCTGATTTAAATAATAAAAACATCATTGGGTAACTAGACAGGATGATTCATTAGAATGAAAATCATTATGAAGAATAATAAGAATTACAACTCGAATCCAGACATGTTACAGTAATGGGTGTGGAAATTAACATGGAAATAATGTTACAATGCAGAATATAATTCATTAAACAGTTCCTCATAATTCCTCCACAATGAACATGTCAGATTTTTTTTAAAGGGAACAGATGTTTCGTCTGCCTCTGGTTCAAGTTAAGAGATAAAAACAGGGACTTTCCTTGCACATTTCATTCTGTGGATAAAGACTCGAGTCATGATGAATATAATTATTAAACCCTGAGTCACGTCAGGCCAGGAGATCAGCAACAGGAGGAAAGGAAAGGAGTAAATGTGAGTGGAGTTTGCCTCTGTGTTGAAGATAAAGTAGAGACAGAAGCAGGACACTTGCTACTGAATAAACACGTATACGCATGTGCACGCCGTCAGAGTTTTCACAGATTCACGTTTTTGAAGTTTACACGGAGATGATAACTTTTTTCAACATTTTTCAACGCTTGCATCTTGGAACCTGTTTCAAGGTTTGGGTTCTCGAGCACCAAACACTGTTGTCGAGTAAATGAGCGAGGCGGAGCGCATTAAAAGATTTCTGATAGAACGGTGTTGTGTTAGCGCCCATGAGGCTTTGTCCACACGGACACGGGTATTTTTGTAACTTGAGTTTTTCCTCCTGCGTTTTAAAAAAATCCCGACCAGCAGGCGGCGATATAACCCTAACCGTAAAGCTACGCTGGCCAATCAGAAGCCTAACAAAAAGTTATTACCGGTTCCGGTAGGCGGATAACGGCGCACACTCTGACGTCAAACACAGCGGATAACGACGCACACTCTGACGTCAAACACAGCGGATAACGGCGCACACTCTGACGTCAAACACAGCGGATAACGGCGCACACTCTGACGTCAAACACAGCGGATAACGGCGCACACTCTGACGTCAAACACAGCGGATAACGGCGCACACTCTGACGTCAAACACAGCGGATAACGGCGCACACTCTGACGTCAAACACAGCGGATAACGACGCACACTCTGACGTCAAACACAGCGGATAACGGCGCACACTCTGACGTCAAACACAGCGGATAACGGCGCACACTCTGACGTCAAACACAGCGGATAACGGCGCACACTCTGACGTCAAACACAGCGGATAACGACGCACACTCTGACGTCAAACACAGCGGATAACGGCGCACACTCTGACGTCAAACACAGCGGATAACGGCGCACACTCTGACGTCAAACACAGCGGATAACGACGCACACTCTGACGTCAAACACAGCGGATAACGGCGCACACTCTGACGTCAAACACAGCAGATAACGACGCACACTCTGACGTCAAACACAGCAGATAACGACGCACACTCTGACGTCAAACACAGCAGATAACGGCACACACTCTGACGTCAAACACAGCGGATAACAGCGCACACTCTGACGTCAAACACAGCAGATAACGACGCACACTCTGACGTCAAACACAGCGGATAACGGCACACACTCTGACGTCAAACACAGCAGATAACGACGCACACTCTGACGTCAAACACAGCGGATAACGACGCACACTCTGACGTCAAACACAGCAGATAACGACGCACACTCTGACGTCAAACACAGCGGATAACGACGCACACTCTGACGTCAAACACAGCGGATAACGACGCACACTCTGACGTCAAACACAGCGGATAACGACGCACACTCTGACGTCAAACACAGCGGATAACGACGCACACTCTGACGTCAAACACAGCGGATAACGACGCACACTCTGACGTCAAACACAGCGGATAACGACGCACACTCTGACGTCAAACACAGCGGATAACGGCGCACACTTTGATGTCAAACACAGCGGATAACGGCGCACACTTTGACGTCAAACACAGAGGATAACGGCGCACACTCTGACGTCAAACACAGCAGATAACGACGCACACTCTGACGTCAAACACAGCGGATAACGACGCACACTCTGACGTCAAACACAGCGGATAACGACGCACACTCTGACGTCAAACACAGCGGATAACGACGCACACTCTGACGTCAAACACAGCGGATAACGGCGCACACTCTGACGTCAAACACAGCGGATAACGACGCACACTCTGACGTCAAACACAGCGGATAACGACGCACACTCTGACGTCAAACACAGCGGATAACGGCGCACACTCTGACGTCAAACACAGCGGATAGCGGCGCACACTCTGACGTCAAACACAGCAGATAACGACGCACACTCTGACGTCAAACACAGCGGATAACGACGCACACTCTGACGTCAAACACAGCAGATAACGGCGCACACTCTGACGTCAAACACAGCGGATAACGGCGCACACTCTGACGTCAAACACAGCGGATAACGGCGCACACTCTGACGTCAAACACAGCGGATAACGGCGCACACTCTGACGTCAAACACAGCGGATAACGGCGCACACTCTGGCGTCAAACACAGCGGATAACGGCGCACACTCTGATGTCAAACACAGCGGATAACGGCGCACACTCTGGCGTCAAACACAGCGGATAACGGCGCACACTCTGACGTCAAACACAGCGGATAACGGCGCACACTCTGACGTCAAACACAGCGGATAGCGGCGCACACTCTGACGTCAAACACAGCGGATAACGAAGCACACTCTGACGTCAAACACAGCGGAGAACGCCGCACACTCTGACGTCAAACACAGCGGATAGCGGCGCACACTCTGACGTCAAACACAGCGGATAACAGCGCACACTCTGACGTCAAACACAGCGGATAACGGCGCACACTCTGACGTCAAACACAGCGGATAACGGCACACACTCTGACGTCAAACACAGCGGATAACGGCGCACACTCTGACGTCAAACACAGCGGATAACGGCGCACACTCTGACGTCAAACACAGCGGATAACGGCGCACACTCTGACGTCAAACACAGCGGATAGCGGCGCACACTCTGACGTCAAACACAGCGGATAACAGCGCACACTCTGACGTCAAACACAGCGGATAACGGCGGCGCACACTCTGACGTCAAACACAGCGGATAACGGCGCACACTCTGACGTCAAACACAGCGGATAACGGCGCACACTCTGACGTCAAACACAGCGGATAACAGCGCACACTCTGACGTCAAACACAGCGGATAACGGCGCACACTCTGACGTCAAACACAGCGGATAACGGCGCACACTCTGACGTCAAACACAGCGGATAACGGCGCACACTCTGACGTCAAACACAGCGGATAACGGCGCACACTCTGACGTCAAACACAGCGGATAACAGCGCACACTCTGACGTCAAACACAGCGGATAACGGCGCACACTCTGACGTCAAACAGCGGATAACGGCGCACACTTTGATGTCAAACACAGCGGATAACAGCGCACACTCTGACGTCAAACACAGCGGATAACGGCGCACACTCTGACGTCAAACACAGCGGATAACGGCGCACACTCTGACGTCAAACACAGCGGATAACGGCGCACACTTTGATGTCAAACACAGCGGATAGCGGCGCACACTCTGACGTCAAACACAGCGGATAACAGCGCACACTCTGACGTCAAACACAGCGGATAACGGCGCACACTCTGACGTCAAACACAGCGGATAACGGCGCACACTCTGACGTCAAACACAGCGGATAACGGCGCACACTCTGACGTCAAACACAGCGGATAACGGCGCACACTCTGACGTCAAACACAGCGGATAACGGCGCACACTCTGACGTCAAACACAGCGGACAACGGAGCACACTCTGACGTCAAACACAGCGGAAAACGGCGCACACTTTGATGTCAAACACAGCGGATAACGGCGCACACTTTGACGTCAAACACAGAGGATAACGGCGCACACTCTGACGTCAAACACAGAGGATAACGGCGCACACTCTGACGTCAAACACAGAGGATAACGGCGCACACTCTGACGTCAAACACAGCGGAAAACGGCGCACACTTTGATGTCAAACACAGCGGATAACGGCGCACACTCTGACGTCAAACACAGAGGATAACGACGCACACTCTGACGTCAAACACAGCGGATAACGGCGCACACTCTGACGTCAAACACAGCGGATGACGGCGCACACTCTGACGTCAAACACAGCGGAAAACGGCGCACACTTTGATGTCAAACACAGCGGATAACGGCGCACACTTTGACGTCAAACACAGAGGATAACGGCGCACACTCTGACGTCAAACACAGCGGATAACGGCGCACACTCTGACGTCAAACACAGCGGATAACGGCGCACACTCTGACGTCAAACACAGCGGATAACGGCGCACACTTTGACGTCAAACACAGCGGATAACGGCGCACACTCTGACGTCAAACACAGCGGATAACGGCGCACACTCTGACGTCAAACACAGCGGATAACGGCGCACA